CAGAAAATGAGTGCTTGGCTATCCAGGGCTACATGGGGACACAGTCAGACCTTCAACCAGCCTAAGTACATAAATAAATAGATAAAATAAAGGTGCCATGTGAAAAAAGCAAAATGAAACAGATTTATGTTATCTTGTTGAGCCAAACAGACCCAAAATATTATTCATATCCAACTATGTAATTGACAGGGAAATAACTGAGCTATCTCACAGTGCTTTCTATATTGTTTTTCCAATGCAAGGTAGGTATTAAAGCAGACCTCACTTCAGGTGAGCTGGATCTTAAATATCCAATAGCTATAAGGCAGAGTACAAGTCTAGAATCATCAACAGCCTATGGATGTAGTTTGGTGGTTTCATCCCAACACACACACACATGCACTCACGCACGCGCACACACACACACACACAGAAAGAGAATCGTCATTGTCAGCTTACTAGATATGGAGTCAGCTAGGGGACCCAACTCTGGGCCATGTGTGTACTGTTGTTTTTTTTTTTAATTTAAGCGAAACTCTTTTATTTATTTTTATTTTATGCACATTGGTATTTTGCCTTGGGTGTTAGGTCCTCTGGAACTGGATTTAAAGAGTTGTGAGCTGCCACGTGGGTGCTGGGAATTGAACTCAGGTCCTCTGGAAGAACAACCAGTATTCTTAACCATTGAGCCATCTCTCCAGCTTCCCTGTGTACTGGTTTTAATAGAAATGGCACACATAGGCTCAGATATTTGAATATTTAGTCCCCAGGGAGTGGCACTATTTGAAAGGATTAGAATCTGGATTAGGAGGTGTGGCCTTGTTGGAGGAAGTGTGTCACTGCAGGTGGGCTTTGAGGTTTCAAAAGCCCATGCTAGGCCCAGTCTCTCTACCTGCAAATTAGAATGTAGCTCTCAGCTACTGATCCACTGCCTGATTGCATGCTGCCATGCTCCCCACCACTCTGCTAACGGACTAAAGCTCTGGACTATATGGAAGCCCACAACTAAATGTTTTCTCTTAAAATAGTTGTAGCCATGGTGCGTCTTCACAGCCATGGAGCAGTGGCTAAGACGGTGTGAGAGGGTGTTTCCAGAGAGGGCTAACTGAGGAAGGAAGAGCCCTGTGACCACCTGCCTCCCACTCCTGTAACGATGCACTCCAGGCCGGGATGGCCCATCTTCTCAACCATAAGCAAAACAAATCCTTCCATTTGTAAGTAGCTCTGTCAGACATCATAGGACAAGGAGGAAGAAAGTAATGAATGCTCCCATCGCCATACATAGCCTGTAATAATTACTTACACCAAATGACAAACCAAAGTGGAATCTGGTGTTAGCCAAAGACACAAAACTTTATAGAAGTCCTTCAACCTGAGAACTATGAGGTTGGAAAGCCAAGAAAACCTTACCTTTTGGTGCCTTGCTTGGCCATCACCATCAACCTGAACACAAAACCTACTAGAAGGCTTGTAAGTGTTCTGTTCTCTGTGACATGGGATGGGTGGTGTCCCTCAGGTCTGTCAGAGTCAGAGGGAAGAGCAAGCTGAAATTAGACCCCTCCACACACTTCTATGACTATTCTCTCTCTCTCTCTCTCTCTCTCTCTCTCTCTCTCTCTCTCTCTGTTTTGGTTTTTGTTTTTGAGACAGGATTTCTCTGTATAGCCCTAGCTGTCCTGAAACTAGCTCTGTAAATCAGGCTGGCCTCTAACTCACAGAGATCTGCCTGCCTCTACCTCCTGTGCCTGGTTATTTATGCCTATTTTTTAAGCCCTTTATTTTCCTCTTACTTAGAGCAACCTACCAGACATTATACATTTAGTTATTGTTGCCTGGCTTCTGCATCAGTCTCTGAATGCTAGGACTTCATCTTGGTCAACACCAGTTCTAATCAGGGTTCTCTAGAGGAACAGAGCCAAAGGAATGCTCACACACACACACACACACATCTCTGACTGTATTAAGTCAGTTTTAAAATAGTAACAATAACAGAATCACACCTGAGAGTTGAGAACCCAGTGGTTACTCGTTCTTTGAGGCCAGTGCATCAGTAGTCCCAGTCTGGCACCGGAAAGCTGGGAAATTTCCTGGAGAGCCACAGGTCCCTAGTCTGCAACAAAAGCCTGAAAATGCTCGTTCTGATATCGGTGAAGCGAGCAGCAGCATTGGACAGATCAACCAGTGGCAAGAGGGAGGCCCAGCAAGCAAAAGGGGAGACACTCTTCCTTCTGCCTAGACCCTCTTTATTCGAGCTGCTGTCTGAGGCGCCGCTCACGACTAGGATGGATCTTTCCGGGTTGATCAAGGCATCAGGACATTTCTGTTACATCTTCCCACTTAGGTAATTCTAATTTGTGGCAAGCTGACATCAAACTAACCATAATACCCCTATATCCTCTGGGCTAACTTAATGACTTGAACACTGTAGACACTCTGTGGATACTAGCTCCTAAGTGTGAGGGAACATCATTCAGAGGAGAACCTGGTACCTCCATTTTTCTCTCAAGACTTCTGAATTTATATCCATTGCCTTTGATATTTACATGAACTGTAAAATGAAACAAGGGAGAGACGTAACGTATCTCCCAAGTGTCTTGGGAGGGAAACTCTCCCTCTACCCCCATCCCTTTAGAGTACTACAGAGGGGGCCAGAGAGTTGGCTACAGTGGTTAAGAGCACTTGCTGACTTGTGGTAGACCCGGGTTCAATTCCCAGCACCCATGTAACGGTTCACAACCATCTGATCCAGGGGACCCAATGCCCTCTCCTGACCTCTGAGGCACCAGACACACTAATGCTACACATGCAGGCATACATGCAGTAAATACTCATACATGTAAAATAAATCAGAAAAAGAAGAAGAGGAGGGAGGAAGGGGAGGAGGAGGAGAGCAAAGTAGCAGGATATGGGACTGGAGAGATGACTCAGAGGTTAAAAGCACTGGCTGCTCTTCCAGAGGTCCTGAGTTCAACTCCCAGCAACCACATGGTGGCTCACAACTATCTATAATAGGATCTGGTGACTTCTTCTGACCTGCAGGCAATGCAGGCAGAACACTGTATATATAATAAATAAATAAACCTTTAGAAAAAAAAAAGCAGGGTGTTTTAGAGCACACCTTTAAATCCAGCACTCAGAGAGTCAGAGCTCAAGGCCACCATGGTCAAGGCCACCATGGTCTTAATAGTGAGTCTCAGGAAAGCCAGACCTACATAGAGAGACCCTGTCTCAAAAAAAAAAAAAAATGCTACAGAGTTGGCTGGAGAGATGTGGCTCAGCCATTAAAGGCTAGAATCACCACCAGAGAGACAAGAATCCTACAGAGGGCTGCTGAAAATGTCTTTCTGTTTTTCACTGGAGAATAATTACTCCTTAGAAGTGATTGTAAAAATTTTATTAGCTTATTTTATGAATATGGATGTTTTGTCTGCATGTATATCTGTGAGACCCGTGCATTCCTGTTGCCCGAGGAAGCCAGAGGAGAGTGTCGGACCCCTGAGACCGGAGTTACAGGCACTCGTGAGCTGCCATGTGGGTGCTGGCCATTGAGCCTGGTCCCCTACAAGAGTAGTTGTGCTCTTAGCTGCTGAGCCGTCTCTCCAGCTCTAGAAATGATTTTCTATTGTTTGTTGGTCAACTTATTGCCCAAGCTGACCCTGACATCTGGGCTTGAGCAATCCTCTGCCTCAGCCCCCTGGGTATTTGCGGGTTTTGTAACGGCTTTTGTGTTGCTGTTTTACAGTACAGACTGAACAGGGCCTGTACTTGTTAGGAAAACATTCTCTCATCGCTAGCCCTCTTTTTACTTAGATGTATATGTGCATTTGTCTTTATGTGTGGAAATGTACGAGTGCGGGTACAGGTGCCTTGGAGTCCAGAAGAGGGCGTCAGATCTCCTGGAACTGGAGTTGCAGGAGGTTTTGAGCTGTCTGACTGGGCTTCTGGGAACCACACTGCAAGAGCAATATGCATGATTTGTGCTCTTAACCAATGAGCTAGCTCTCTCCCACCCTAACACCTTTTTATTATTATTTTTATTTAAGTTAATTTCATTAATTTTTTTAAAAAAATAATTTATTTTTACTTTATGTGCATTGGTATTTTGTGAGGGTCCCTGGAGGTAGAGTTATTGGCAGTTGTAAGCTGCCATGTGGGTGCTGGGAATTGAACCCAGGTCCTCTGGAAGAACCACCAGTGCTCTTAACCTCTGAGCCATCTCTCCAGTCCCCATTATTTCACTTTTATTTCTATTTATTTGTGTGTCTGTGTGAGTGTGTGTGGTGTATGTGCTGGGGTCACAGATGTCTGAGTCACCGTAATTTGGGACAGGGAGCAGTCTCAAGCCCTGAGCCATCTCTCCAGGCCCTTCTTTTTATTTTTGAGATATCACTAGATTGAAAGTTAGAACTCACTCTAGTCCAGGCAGGCCTCCAAAGTGTGATCCTCCTGTCTCACTCTCCCAAGCGGCTGGGACTCTAGGTCTGTACACCAGGCCTGGATTGTATTCTGTCAACTATAACATCTCACAACATGGCAGGGAGGAGACCAACGCGAGTCACTGGCAAAGACACAGACTAACCCAGTGGAGGAGACATATTAGGCCCAAAACATTCTCCAGCATCCTTCTTCATTGTGTGACTCGGATTTCAGCCTCTAACAAGGAAGATCTCAGAGGTTTGTGTCACTAGAACATTCCTGGTCTCCTTGCCATTTGAGAGAGATGTTGGGGGCCATCTGACAGGGAGAGGCCAAACAAGGAAGTTCTTGAGGAGGACACTTTCTTACTGTGCCTCTCTGGCCATCACCTCCATCCCTGGCAGCGGAGGACAGCAGGAAGAAGTAAGAGCTGGGTAGCTGACTGTCCAGAGACCGGGAGGGGGTTAGTGGAGCCATGTTCACAAATACAAAAGGGACAGGGACATGCTTGCCTGCTTCCCCATGCTTACCAAACACGCGCCCCCACACAGTGGCACTCACTTCCTCACCAATGACTTGGCACAGCCTCCTGACTGTTTACGCACTCACCATCCACCGCCCACTCTGAACAGGACCCCAGAGCTGTATGGTTTGCAGCCTACCAGCTGCAGGCCCTGCCGGCCCTCCCTCTTCTCCAGGGCTGGGTTTTTCCAGCCGGAACCTCGCTCCGCTCCCTCTACAGCAATCTCTGGAAATCGGTGTCTGACGCGGCTGCTCCTGCCTATTATTTATTTATTTCTTCTTCTCTTCCCGCTGAGACCCTCCTGTCAGAGGAGAGCTGCAGTCCGGAAACAGAGGAAGGCAGAAGCTGCCGGGAGAGCTGGGAGCGGAGCAAAGAGAAGGGAGAAAGGGACTCCCAGACACCCTTGTCTGCTTACCCTAGAGGACCATGAGCACTGGGCAGGAGGCCAGGAGAGATGAGGGAGACTCCAGAAGAGGCCAGGAAGCCTCGCTTCGGGACCGAGCCCACCTGAGCCAGCAGCGCCGGCTCAAACAGGCCACCCAGTTCTTGCATAAGGACTCGGCTGACTTGCTGCCCCTGGATAGCCTCAAGAGGCTGGGCACTTCCAAGGACCTGGTGAGTCCCCTGACTCTTTCTCTATTCTCCATATCCTGTCTGGGGCGTGGGGAGGTGACATACAGGGTAGCATCTCAGCCTTCAGAGTCCTCTCTCCTGTTCAGATGAGAGAGAGATGGTTCCAACAACTTGCAGCCCCCAACCCTCCCCAGCTTCTCCTTTGGAAATGTTTCTTGGCCTGGTGGCACTGAGGGTCCCTGGGCTTATAACTCAGCTTTCACGCTTTTCCCCGCTTAGAGCTCCAAGGTTCATCCTGGGGACAACAGAGAGTTAAGTTGTTCAGTAGAAGCCTAGAGGACCTGGGAATCCTGTGGAATGGGCACATGAGGACAGCAAGGCACGGAGGTTTCGTCAGCTGAGGGTTATGACTCTCTGCTTTTAGATGCCTTCAAAGCTGCCTGTGAATTTGCCTCATTCCTCAGACCTGCCCCACCCCTTTTCCTAGCATCATAGTATTGAGGGTCTTCTGGGCAATCAAGGTTCACATGCTCTGACCTGGACCACCAGTCTCAATGTCTGTGTCCTCCTGTCTTTCCCTTCCAAACCATTGCAGCACCTCTGACTCCAGAGGGAATGGGCTCTGGGGTTACTGGGAAGAGTTGAGGGGCTCAGGGCCAGCTGCATGCAGTCTTTGTCCCTAGAGATATATTAGTTAAGGACATGGGCTTTGGAGCCACCTTGTTTGGGACCAAATTCTGACTGTAATTCAGAAAGTTATGAGTCTGTGCCTTGGCTTCCTCATCTATTAGAAAGGGGTAAAGTTGTGAGCATCAGTCTGGTAAGGAGAGTCACTTGGGCTTCTACATCCTTAGCACGGGGACAGTGCCTGGCTAATAGAAACACGCGGGAAATGACACCGGGACCCTTCTAGCTTTGATTCCATTTAGCTTTTGAGTTGGCGTGAATTTTGGGGGGTCCAGAGAATACAGACTTCCATTCTATGGGAGTCACTTCTCCCTGGGGGCAAACTCATCACTCTGTTGTTTTGCTTGGCCTGATTTTACCTTTCTGTTCTGCCCCTCACCTGGGTTTTCCCATTCCAGCAGCCCTAAAGAACACAGGAGCCAGCTGAGGAACAGGGAGGGGGAAGAAAGCAGGTTCTCTGGCATCTGGGGATTTGGGTCTTTGGCGTCTCTGTATACCCTTCCAGCTGTCTTGTCCAGAAGTTGCCCTGTGGACACTGGCACCTCAGAGCAGCTGGCCAAGCCTTTTGGCGTCAGGGCTCCTCACCTTTCCTCTTTGCCTTATTAGCACCTGCACAGATCCATAGTAGGTAGCTCCCGAGACTTCAGGAATGAAGAAGCAACAGTCTGGGAACCCTGTTTCCCTGCTTGGGGTACCTCTGGCACACCCTTTCCAACAGTGAGGAGCATGGAGTCACAGGAGAGAGAAGGGCATGGGAACTGCTCGGGCCCTGAGCTGGCTGCACGTTCTCAGAGCTAGCAACTCGCTGCCAGGGTCTCATGAGGCCGAGGGTGGAAAAACAATCCCAGGCTCCCAGGGTCAGGTGGAGGAGTGTGTGGAGCCTGGGAGACTACAGCCATTCTCCAGGAAACTTTTTTATTTTAATTTTTTCAGAGTCTCACTAAGTAGCCCTGCTGGCCTGATTATGCTATGCATCCCAGACTGGCTTATGTTTTTTGAGTTTATAAAAAACAGAATTGCATTTTATTTTTGAGCTAGGTTTCACTATGGCGACCAGGCTGGCATGAACTAAGTAGCTGACCGCATCATTGTGGTGATCCTCCTGCCTCTGTCTCCCGAGTGCTGTGACTATAGGGGTGTGCTACCACACCAGACTAAAACCAACCATTTTATTTTGTGTCTTTTTCCTTTTCCTTTATTGGTATGGGTTCTTATGCATGTAGACAAGTTTTCTACGACTGAGCCACCCCAAATCCCCAAGCCAAGGAGGCACTTATATGCTGAACTAGGGCCTGGGACAGAAAGATGAGCAAGACAGATCTAACTTGAACGCCTTTCCAGACTGTGGTGGGGGTGAAATCCAAAAATAACATCTGTGAGAATCATGACCAATGAGCTATGAGAAGAGAGAGGACATGATATTCCAGAGGCCAATCCTGCAGGTGGAGTCAGAGTGAGAAGCAAGGCCTTTCTACTCAATAAAGTATAAGAAGCCATGCATTCAGCCTGACCCCATGAGAACTGGGAGGAGGGGCTTCTGCAGAGAGGTGAGCAGGTGTAGAGCCTGGGGTGAAACAGGCTAGCCAGGCAAGAGGAGTGGTGTCACTATAGCTGAAGAACAGTGTGTGGTGGCCTGTGCAGACAGACAGCAGCCAGGTCTTCTAGGGATCAGTTTAGAAATACAGAATGAGCCAGCAGTGGTGGCGCACACCTTTAATCCCAGCGACAGGCTCCAAAGCTACAGAGAAACCCTGCCTCGAAAAACCAAAAAACACACAAACAAACAAAAACAAAAACCAAACCAAACCAACCAACCAAACAAACAAACAAAAAACCCAGAACGGGGTACAGTGAGTCACACATTTAATTTAATTCCAACACTTGGAAGGAAAAATAAAGAAGATCTCTGTGAGTTCAAAGCCAGCCTGGCCCACATATCAAATTCCCAGACTGTTAAGACTAGCAACATAGAGAGACCCTGTCTCAAAACAAGTAAAAACAGCAACAACAGTAGCAAAAAAACAAAAGCAGGCTGTCACCAAATCAGTGTGTGTATGTGTGATGCATTTTATACAAGGGAATAACACTTAATTTTTTTTAAGACAGGATTTTACTCTGTAGACCAGGTTGACCTTGAACTCACAGAGCTTCACCTGTCTCCTGAATGCTGGGATCAAAGGCGTGTAGCAACACACCACTTACTTTTTCTTAAAACGTAGCCTAGGGTGGCCTTGAACTCATAACTATTCTCTTGCCTCAGCCTTTTGAACATTGGAAATATATAGGTACACTTCACCACATCTGGCTTGTACAGTTATTTTTACATTTTACTTAAATATTTCTCAAGCCTGAATGTGCAGGAGTCTTATTGAAAACAAGATTAGAGGCTGGGTTGGATTTGATGGCATACATCATTAATCTTAGATCTTGGGAGGCAGAGGCTGAGGCAGGTGGATCTCTGTGAGTTCAAGGCCAGCTTAGTCTATAGAGCTAGTTCCAGGTCAGCCAGGGCTACAGAGTAAGATCTCATCATAAAACAAACAAAACAAAGACTCAGGGGCTTAGGAGAACAGCTAAGTGGCAGAGCATTTGCCCTGAAGGAGCACGCTTCTGGGTTTAAACCCTCATGCCAAAAACAAAACATGAACAAAATTTTTGATTCAGGAGGTCTGACGCTCTGCATATAGATAGACTTCAGAATGTCATTAAAGCTGTTGGTTAGGACTAATAAGTGGCTCAGAAGTCAAGAGTACTTTTCCAGAGGACATGGATTTTATTTCTAGCACACACATGGCAGTTTACAATAATCTGTAACTCCAGATCCAGCATATCTGATGCCCTTTTGGATTTCATGGGCACAGGCATGCATATGATACACATTCATTCATATAGGCTAAAGACTTGTGCACATAAGATTATATCTATATCTATCTATAGCTACATCTGTATCTATCTCTCTATCTCTCTATCTCTATCCATCTTCCTCCCTCCCCCTATATGTATGTATACATGTATGTATGTATGTGTGTGTCTTAAAATTCTATATATGTTGACTTCAGGACCACACTGTGAGTAGCAGGGCTTTAGCTAAGTCAGTGTAGAAAGACAAGTCTTGGAAGCAGGCTTTTTTTGTGAGTGGACAAAGCCAGTGGCCCAAGAAAATTGTGGGAGTCTGGATACATCAGATATCCCTTCAAAGAAAGGAAGCTGAACTGGCAGAATACAGGCAGTGATTGGATGGATGAGGGTAGCTGCAGATGAGAGGTCAATGATGGTTCGTTATTCTACCCTGAACATTCTGCTTATATCTTTAAAAAATTACATTTGAGTCATTCGAGCCCTGCTGGCCTCAGACTTTCCACATAGCTAAGGATGACCTTGAACTTCTGATTTTTTATCCACCATGTCCCAAGTGCTGGGATGACCTGTTCTGTCAATGCAAGACTTGCACCATACTGGAATTAGTTATGAGCCTCTGTGTAGGTGCTAGAAATCAAACCCAGGTCCTTCAGAAAAGCAGCCAGTGCTCTCCCCTACTGAGCCATCCCTCTTTTACTGCTCCTCTTGTCTGGGGTAGAGCAAGCATCTTGTGGTTTACAAGGCATAAAGGTGGGGAAGCACATAGTCTGGATCCTGGGCTTAGATCTGCTTTCACTATTTTGTGATGGAGCCAGCAGCCACACAGCGTGCTCCAAAGACGCCTGGTGGAGGGAAACCAGAGGCGGCTTCAGGGGGAGTTTCCCCTGGTGCAGGCACAGATCCCCAGCCACGACAGCGGCAGGACCAGTGAGACACAGCGGCCAGCTCTTCTTGTCAACTGCAAGGTAAGAGGTTTCCTGGGGTCCTTTCCCTTGCTTTCTGAGCCTTCTCTCTCTACCAGCTCCCCCTTCTGCCTCAGCAGTCAAAAGGAGCAAAGTCATTTTTCTCCTTCTCTGTCCCTGCATCCGCTTCCCTGTCTGTCTCGCCTGTCTTCTCTGAATAAGGCCATCCATCAGCAGTACTATGCTCCCATGCTTTTAGCAAAGTTTATTTACATATGAGAGTCTCCTTTACTGTACTGTACACATTGGAAATGCATGCATGAGTACAAAAGGTTCATGTTTCAAGGTGAAAAAAAATCTTTTAAAAATTTATGTGTTTGTGATGTCGTGTGTGTGCGTGCAGTGGCCAGAGAGGCTGGTGAATCCCCTGGAGCTGGAGTTGCAGGAAGTTGTGAGCTGCCCAATATAGGGACCGAACTCAGGTCCTCTGAAAGAGTGGCAAACACCCCTAACTACTGAACCATCACTGCAGCCCCAAAGCTCCTGCTAGTGGAACATTCCAGTAAATGTCCACTGCCTCTCTGCCCAGAAATCTCACTTCCTAATCTCCAACCATTCCTTGTCCACATTCTTATTTTTTAAGGCCCAACTCAGAAGCTGCTTCCTCATAGAAAGCTTTTCTCTGACCAATAGGATCAGTTCCCTGTCCTCCCCAAGCTCTGGGGCACTCAATTAATGATCCTTTTATAAACCTTACAATGTGGAGTCATATTTCATCTCTTTGACACTGCCGAGGACGGCACTCACTAAAGTATCTACTAGCCATACATCTTACATAGTAGATGCTCAATAAATGTTTGGAACAAGGAAACCATTCCCTCATGTGTATGTATCACGTGTTCACCCTGATGCCTGTCAGGATCCCAAGGCAATGAGTTTGTCTTCCCGTTTCCATTCTTGGTGACCCAAATCTGAGCATGTACAGAACTTTGTCTTCTTAGCTCCTTCCTGACCTGCAGCCCTTTGACTAGGAGAAGGTCCTCAACCTCCCATGGATTCCTCTAAACAAATAAGATTTCCATTCTGGCCCAGATCTTTCTCAACTCAGTGATCTCACCGTGTGGAATCCAACTCCTTTGATTCCCTTCTGGGAGAGTTTCACTTTTGGAAACTTGTTCATTCCCTCCATCCATCTCTAAAAGGGAAGGATCAAAGGACCCAGAAAGTCAAGGGTTCAAACCTAATCCTTCCTGGGGGACTCATTGATCCATCGCTCTGATTTCTAGTGCCAGGATCAGATGCTTCGAGTGGCTGTGGACACAGGGACGCAGCACAACCAGATATCTGCTGGATGCCTCAGGCGCCTGGGGTAAGAGTGGTCTAAACCAGCGGACGGGGGCTTCATTTCTTTCCCCCACTTTTTGTTTTGTGATAGAGTCTCACTATATACCCCAGACTGGCCTCAAATTCAACAACCTTCTGCCTCAGCCTCTTGCGTGTGGGTTTGTGTTGAGACTACAGGCCACACTTGGTCTCAGGATAGGGTTTCTTTTGGGGTGATGACATATCTTCAAAGGCTCTAGTGAAGATGGTTGCACTGACAGACTACTGAATAGCATTGAATTGTACTTTTTATTTATTTATTTTTTTGAGACAAGGCCTTACTTACTATGTCTTACCTCCCAAGTGCTGGGATTAAAGGTGTGTGCCATTATGCTTAGCTCTGAATTGCACTTTTATGGAGTAAATCTTGCTGGGCCTAGTGGCTTTTTGTAAGGGGCTGCTTGTTGAGTTTTGGCTGCACAACCCCAAAATAATCACACAGAAACTGTATTAATTAAAACACTGCTTGGCCCATTACCTCTAGCTTCTTATTGGCTAACCCTTATATCTTAATTTAACCCATTTCTAGTAATCTGTGTATTGCCATGTGGCTGTAGCTTATTGGCTAAAGTTCTGGTGTCTGTCTTCAATGGGGCTACAAGGTTTCTCTCTGACTCCACCTTTTTCCTCCCAGCATTCAGTTTAGTTTTTTTCCCCCACCCCTTCGTCTAGCTAAGTTGTGCCCTGCTATAGGTCCAAAGCAGTTTTCTGCATTCCTTAATAGTAATCACAGCATATAGAGGGGAATCCTACATGGGTGGCTCAAGCCTATAACATCTGGGGGTGAAGGAGAGCTAGGAACCCAAGGCCAGCCTTGGTTACATAAGCTGTCAGCCCAACCTCTATAAGACTGTTTAAAAAAAAAACCAAAAACATAGCCTTCCCCCACCAACCCAAACAGAACCTACAACTAAGTGTGAACTTGATGGCATACAAACTCTATCTTAGTACATATTATGTTTTTAAAATTGTGTGTGTTGGGGGCGGGGGTTGATCAGGCAGTTCTAGCAGGAAGGGGTTAAATCTCCCCTAGCTCAGGGGCTGAGAGAAAGCATGGTCAGTATTGGTTTTTTAACTGTGGGGGGCTGGGATTGGGGACTGTGGTGGCTATAACCCTTGCTTTCTAACCACAGGAAGGTCCCAAAAGCCCCAGGTGGGGACCTGGCACCCGGGCCACCAAGTCAGGTGGAAGAGCTGGAGCTAGAGCTGGGACAGGGGACTGTGGCATGCTCGGCCCAGGTGGTAGGTAAGCCCTCCAGCCTCTCACCTCTTCTGAGCAGGACAGAGGTAGAGGTTTGGGGCCCCTGTCAGCAACACACCATCCCAAGATGCTCAGATTATTACCCACCCTGCTGTTCTCAACACTGGGGGTGGACTGGGAAGGAAAGGGATGAGTGCTCAGAGGAGGTCATCAGTGGTCACAGATGCGACCTAATTTTCCAATGGTTCCCGCAGATGTGGACAGCCCTGAATTTTGCCTGGGACTGCAGACTCTACTTTCCCTCAAGGTAAGGCACCCATGCTTGGTGACCCCAAAATTCTAGAAGAGGTAGAAGGCTCAGGGCGGAAGCCCAGAGCAGGCTGGTGAAAAAGACAGAGGTGTAAAACTTAGAACTTGTTTAATTACCCCAAAAGTAAAATCAAGAGAATGGGTTCTCTTCCTGAAGGGGCAGGGCATAGAAGCAAGGGGAGGCAGAAGGAAGGGGAGCATGTGTGAGCTGGCAGGGAGGTGACAACACATTCGGGGTCCCCATGGCAGTGCTGCATTGACCTGGACCGTGGAGTGCTTCGGCTGAAAGCCCCCTTCTCGGAGCTGCCCTTCCTGCCTCTGTACCAAGAGCCTGGCCAGTGACCACTGTCTCAGCCAGTCCCTAGGGCGACACTGTGCCTTAGGGGAAGAGTGGTGTGGAGTGGGACATTACTGCATTAGTCTCTTTTTCACCACCCTGATCTTGCAGTTGCCACCCCGTCTCTGCTTCTCCATAGCTGCCTTCTGTCCCAGGAGTTCCTACTCAGAGTATCTGTGGCTTCCCTACTCTCTTATCCCTTCCGAAGAGCAGTCAAGTTAGTTACAGAAAAGAACCTACAGCGAATGGGCTCTAGGCTTTCTCCTGGCTGTGGGGGTCAAGGCTACCTGCTGCCTCCACCTGCCTGAAGCCCACCCCAAGCACTCCTCCACGGTCCTTACCCCTAGTCTCCTACCTCTGTGGCTTATCCACCACAACCAGATTCCTGGCGCCCCTGGCAGCTGCCCCTCAGATCTTGCCCCCATCTGATTACCATTGGGTGGGAGTGCTAAGCAAGTGGGGCTGTCTGTCTAGAAAGGTACAGTCCCTGAGCTGGGGGCTTTTAGTCATTACCCTTTCTGGGTTGCAGATGTCTGAGTGTCTTTCTGCCTGGGTTGGCTCTCAAACCATGGTTAGGGGAAGAGAGACAATGATATATCTAACCCAAACAAGGGAGCCGGGTCTCTTATATGGAAACTAAATACTAAGCCTAGGGGAGACCAAAATGAGCTGGGACACAGCCTCACTTTCTTCACTTTCAAGAGCAGGCTGGCTTAGCATAAGTGCCATAGTACCTGGTCTCAATTCTGACTTTCTCATCACCTTGCTTCGAGACCTATGCTCCTTCCCCAGTCTGCCTCCTGTTGATCCTGTAGTGGCAGACCTGGCCCAGGGCAGGCCCTTAGCCTGCTTCTGCATTTGAATAAACATTGTTTCTCTAAGTCATGTTCTTCTCTGGTCTCTTCCTCCTTACCTCCAGGAGTCCACAGTACCTCTGTCCTCACACCCACAGGGAAAGTGTGAATGGGGTCCCTCTCCCAAGCTGGAACACAGGCTTGTGAAGTCAATTTTACACCATATGTGCTATACAAATACACATGCAATCGTAACAAATCAATATTTACCTGCACTGTGAACAGAGGACTCTGGCGTTCTCCATTTTATTTTACTCCATTTCACTTAGTTCAAAAGCCCTGAGGGCTGGGGAGATGCCTTAGTGGGAAAGAGAAGAGCATTTGCCATGCAAGCATGAGAACCTGGATTCAAAGCCCAGACCCATGGAAAAGGGTTCCGTTCCCAGCACCCACAAGGCAGCTCACACCTGTCTGGAACTCCAGTTCCAAGGTTTCTGATGCCCTCACACCAACATACATGCATGCAGGCAAAAGACCAATGAGCATAAAATAAAAATAAATTATATATATAAAAATGCTGCTCAGCTGCTTGTAAGCCCAGAACTGTGCATTGCAGGTGTCTTACTGATGAAGCAGAAAGCCTCAGGTCCAGAGAGAGACCCTATCTCAAGGGAATAAAGTGGAGAGAAAGAATGCAGGAGGCTGGACATCCTCTTTTGTCCTTCATACTCCATTACCCAGGTATGCATGGGTAATATGTATCTGCACACACATATCACACACATAGACTCTAGCCACAATCCATCAAAGGCTTGGGCCTGGGTGGTGGTAGCGCACGCCTTTAATCCCAGCACTCAGGAAGCAGAGGCGAGCAGATCTCTGTGAGTTTGAGGCCAGTCTTGTCTACAGAGTGAGTTCCAGGACAAGTTCCAAAGCGACAGAGAGACCCTGCCTCGAAAAACCCAAACCAAACGGAAAAACAATAATAACAATAAAAAAATACAAAAACAAACTTTAGAATATGGCAGGACTGGAGTGCAGCTGAATAGCAGAGTGCTTGGCTAGCATGTGCAAGGCCCTGAGCTCCACCTCTGTACACACATAGGCACACACACCACCACCACCAACAACAAAACAAACAAAAACCAACCAACCACCACCACTACTACCAAAACCAGAGAGAGAGAGAGAAAGGCAAAATGAGAAAGCCCTGACCTGGTTGCTTCAGCAAATGGAAAAACACAGGAAGATAAGACAGGAAAATGCCCGGAAGGATGTCTGTTCAGAACTGTTAACAAACACTCTGCCATTCCTGCAGCAATTACTGATGTCAGCTGCCTGGAGCTATGCTCTAAAAGTGGGCACTCACTGGGACTGGGAGAGGTGAGGGCTCACCTCTACTGCTCACACAGTCCCTCAGGCCTGAAGGACCTGTTCAGGTGTTAGTACCATGGAAAAGGCTTGCTGCATCTTCTCACAAACAAGTCTGTTTTCTGCAATCAGAGTAAGAACATGGGGAGGGAAGCACAGGGACCTGGGTTATTTGCAAGACTGGGATCCTGGGATGCGGATGGCAACCAGGGGGCACCCATCAGAGGCTCTCAGGGGTGCCACCGTCCTTCCACGCCGCCGAGAACCAGGTCCTGCTCCTCTGTAATGTGCACTCCCCATCCGGCCAAGATCATGGATCAACTTTGGGGTAGGGTGGGGCTCAGAAGGATCCTTCACCAGCTAAGTGGACAAGTCCAGCTAGGTGGGGTCCTGGGAGCTTGAGGGGGTACACTGTGGTAGTTGGTCCGGATGGTAGAGAGTCTGGTGAAGCAGGGTACGGACTGCAGGGAGATCATCAGGATCTGAAGGCCAAGAAGAGGCGGGTGAGAGACTGCTGGGCCTCGGGGTGGGGCCCTGGTTGTGCTGACACTCACCCACACCCAGCTCCTGCAGTAGGCTGTGGTACTCAGGCTCAGCCTCCAGGAGCTTCAGCAGATTAGTGGACTCCATCCGCTCCAGCTGCACATCCCAGTACACATAGATCTTCTGATTGAAAGTGACATATACCAAGCAGGGACTGTTGCGACCCTCTTTGCAAGCATACTGGCCTGGGAGATGGGGGCGAGAAGACAAACGTCAAGACTTAGTCCTGGTGGCAGGAGGAGGGCAAGGACAAGAAGACATCAGAGGCAGCAGTATTAGCCCTTCATAGAGATCAATCAACAAAGGCCCCTTTCCTATTTTTTCTCTGCTAAGAACCCAGTATAAGATGTAAAATGGTAAAACATATTGCTCATTCTAGATATGGGAAAGACACAGTCAGCACCCCAAGAGATGTATTTATTTGTAGGTCTTCTCATCTTAGTGGTACTCTGGAGTAAAAAAGACAGCCCTGCTAGTGCAAAGGGCAGGTTAACAAAATAACCGAAGAGAAAGGCTTTTCTTGGCCTGCTTTTTTCTTCAGAGCACACACCAACCTTTCAAGTAACTGGGGTGTTTTCCAGCTCCTCCTATTTATTTTGGGGTCCTGGTGACTGAGCCCTATTTTGTATATGTCAGTCAAGGCTCTACCACCAAACTGTACTATCAGTCCATTGTCTCATTGTCATTTTATTAGCCAGATATATCCCTGCCACCTAAATAGCTACTGCAGCTTTCTGAAGTCCTGAATTTAAGATTACAGAGAATACTCTGGAAGCGTTTTCTTCAACCTGCCACGATCAGCTGGAAACATTCTCCCACAGTTGTCCCATTCTTTATACATTTAGAGACGGAGCCCTCACTGTGCTTACGTCTCATTCCAAACTGCCACGATGGGGCTGGAGAGATGGCTCAGCACACCGGCTCCTCTTTCAGAAGACCAGGCTCAAATCCTAAAACTCAACTACCTATAACGTAAGTTCTGAGGATATGATATCCTCTTCTGGCTTTTGTGGGCACTGCACAGCCATGATACATAGACATACATTCAGGCAAACATTCAGACACATAAAAATAAATAAAATTTCCCTTCCAAATTAAAAAATAAAACTGTCAAGATGGGAGTGTGGTACCCATCCATCACCCACCAATGAAAACGAAGGAACCCATTTGTGTTTGGGCTACACTTAATGGAAACAAGTCAGTCACTTTCCAGCACATTTACTAAGCTTGAGTAGCTGAGCTCAGAGGCCACTGTCCCACCTGCACAGAAGGCACGGATATTTTCATCCACCTGGAAGCGGACGACGGTGCGGTTGTGATCAATGATATATGTCTGCCCATCCCAGGCACACGCTACCACCTCCTCAAGCCCATTGCCCTGAAAAAGGTAAAAGACAGGATGCCAGAGGGTCAGGGGCTACTTTAGAAAGAGACCTTGTCACATGTATTGGCACACACCTGTAATCTCAGGGCTTGAGAGGCAGAGGCAGAGGGCAGCCTGGGCTACACAGCACATAGCGAGCTCCTGTGTCAGAAAAGAACAAAAGATCTGATAGTGGGGTGGTGGAGCAGTGAGATATAAGAACTGTGAGCTTGACCCTGGGTGGCAGACTATAAACTTGGGTATTTCTCCCATGTGCCAAGTGCCCAACAGGGCAATTGTAATCTACTTTGCCTAATGTTCAAACCAACACGATGATGCAAACATAATTCTCAGTTTTATTTGATTTTTCGAGACAGGGTTTCTCTGTAGCTTTGGAGCCTGTCCTGGAGTTAGCTCTTGTAGACCAGGCTGGCCTCGAACTCACAGAAATCCGCCTGCCTCTGCCTCTGTCTCCCGAGTGCTGGGATTTCTCAGTTTTATACTGGAACATTTCTTCTTAGAGGGATAATGAAGCCTGAGGTCACAGGCAGGGGCAAGGCCAACACAGATCTGTTCTACTGGTCAAAGCCATGGAGCACGTACCACAGCAGTGTGAGCAACGTAGGCCCATCTGTCATTTGAGGGTTACACTGATAAAAAACAGACTTATGCACAAGAAAAAAACACAAGACTCAGCTATATTTGTGACAAATAACCCACTTCTAGACCTACAGCCTGCATTCTTTAGGACTATTATTTTTGGTTGAAAGGCATGGAAATGATTTTCCAGTAGCCTCAAAGAGAAGTATTAAATTCTGTGCTATAAGGGCACACTTGAGTGTAAAGAGAGGGACACAGTCATTTTGTCTAAGAAAAAGGTTCACTGTTGACTGGGATGTGGGCATGGCTACATTTAAATGTCTTCTCATGAGGCTGGGATGATGGCTCGTTTTTTCTGGAGCACCTGGGTTTGATTGCTAGCACCCACAAAGTGGCTAACAACTGTCTGTGAGTGCAGTTCTAGGGGATCTGATGCCCTTTTCTTGCCTCTGTGGGCACCAGGCATACATGTGGCACACAGACACATACACAGGCAAAACATCTATGCAAATAAAAGTAAATATATGAATCTCAAAAAGGAAAAAAAGTCCACTCACCGTGACATCCAGCTTCTCCAGGGCAAAGAGCTGGTGATCCACCTGTACCGACCACAACAGCTTATCGGCTTCTTGCATCAGCTTCAGCGTCCCTGCAGGAAGATAGGGTGTGTGTGAGTGCCTGTGCTGGTGTGTGACAGTGTGTGTGTGTCTGGGATGTGTATATGAGTGAGTGTGTGTGGCTGTGTGTGGTATGTATGTGTGCCTGTACGTATGTGCTGGTGTGTGTGTGTGTGTGTGTGTGTGTGTGTGTGTGTGTGTTGGTGTGGGGGGTGCTATGTGTATGTGTGTATGTATGTATGTATACGCTGGGCCTTGGAGCAGACCCCTCAGGGTGTCTGCTCATGACCCGCCCGCCCCACCCAGCCCAGGACTACTCACCATCTAGGGTGCACAGGGCAAAGAGGCCTGAGTTACCAGTTTCAGGGCTATGACCTGTGGGAGGATGGAGGTAGGAATAAGGGCAGGGCCCTGGGTCTCCTTTCTCCCAAAACTGCCTTGTTCAGCTCTTCCCCTTCCTTACCTTGTTTGATGTTGCCAATTAGGTGAGTGGAAACGTTCTTGTTGTGGATCCGGCCAGATGTCTGGTGCAGCACTATGTCTCGAGCAGCTGGGGTTTCCCTGTTGGTAAGAAAGAGATTGGGCCAATGGGAGGCCAAGGGAGCTGAGTTCTCTAGGCCCTTTATATCCACCACCACTGCAGGAGTTTCACTTTCAGAAGCTCACCCCTGACCCGTTCTGACTCATGCAGCAAAAGGAAGGCAGGGTGATGGGGCTGCCGGGCAGGAGTCCAGAGACCTGAATCCAATGGTGGAATCTCTACAAAGACCAGCTCATGGTGCTCAGATGTCGTAAGGTTAAAGCCCAGGACTCCTGGTCCTAAACAGTCTTTTCTAATGGGGCCAAGTGCTTGGGCTGTGGCCTAGATGATGGAGCCTTGGCACCTGCATTGACCTGTCTCACCACCATGTCACCCTTTCCTTACTTTGATGCACTCACCACCTCATCCCCTTACCTACTGTCTCCTGTGGCCTCCTCAGAGGCGGGAGGGGAGTCAGTATCCTTGTTCCAGGTACAGAGCAGAACTGCGTAAGCACACCCTGGCTGTGACACAACCAGCTCAGGCACACCCAGAGGCCCTGGGGTCACAGAGAGACTGTCGACCTGCACCGAGAACAGAGTCTTAACGGGGGCAGATTAGGAAGGGAGACTCTGCTGCCAGAACCAGGGGAGACACGGGCAGGGCTTCTGAGAATTAGCCTCCAGTTTGATAGAGATAGGAGTTCTAAGGTTCATGAGTCTTGTCTGGCACCACCCACCCCAGACCCAGGCTCCTGCTGTGTGCCCCACAGCACACTGAATTATCAGTGCATTCTTTGCACTCTGTACCCATCACCAGAACTCCACTGAGACTTTGCCTAGAAATGCTGGACCTCTCTCAGCAAGGCCATTTTCCTTCTTCCCGGATGGACCCCACATTCCACAAGCCTCCTCTGGGCCTTTTCTGTTCACTGGCTCTTAGCGTAGGTCCCCAAACTCTGCTTCTCACCTGACCCTCCAGCATCCACTTCTTGAGGGACACCAGTTGCCCTGTCAGGTGTTCAGGCCCCTCAGCCAGCTCTTCCCAGCGGAAGGCCCGTACCACACGGTCTGTGTACCCTACCACCAGCTCGTAACACCCGTCTCCATCTGTAGGCACAGAAACAATGGATTTGGAGCCAAACCACAGTTTGGGCTACGGCTCCCTTTGCACTCCTGGCACTCCTGGCACTTTCAGTTGAGTCCAGTCTACTGGGCCATGAACCACATCCTGTGGTAACTGCCCATTCCAGCCTGGTCTTGTGCTCGTGCCGTTTCTCACTCACATGCGGCGCAGGGTCCATCCTCTCTGCTCTCTGTTTCTTACATCCACGGCCCAGCACCTGGACCCTAGTGCACATACTTGACTCAAGGCGCATACTTCCTCCCTGTCAATCAGCAGTCCCATGTTGCTACAGCTCACTCTCCTGTCACTTTTCCAAATGCCACCTTCCAGCAAGAATGTCCCTGACAACTCTGTTTAAAATGCTACCTCTTGGGTCTGGCTCAGCAGTTCAGAGTATTTGCTGCTCTTCCAGAGGACCCCAGTTAGGTTCTCAATAACCATGTCAAATGGCTCACAACTTCCTGTAATTCCAACTAAAGGGGATCTGACCTTCCCTCATGTGCACACACTCACACACAAACCTACACATAATTAAACCCTTGAAATTGCTGCCTATACCTCGCTATCTTCAGCCTTTTGATTTATTTTTTCCACAACACTTACTACCTTCTAATACAGTACTGAATGACTGATTTTTGGCTGGGATGAACTCAGGCCTGGTCATGCTGGACAAGTGTTCTAATCCTGAGCCAAGTTTCCAGCCTCATTATTTAATTTTCTTATAAAATTTATTCTGTCTCTTCCCAGAGCGATCTAAGACGGTATGATTTTTTTTTTTACTTGCTTTATTCACTTTGTAATTCTAGAGCATAGAATAGTCCCTAGCTCCTAGTTACTGAGTAGGAGCTCAGTAACTATGCCTCAAACATATACTACATGAAAATAAAGTAAAACCAAATAAAAAGAGAAAAAGTAAACACACAACAATGTACAAAATGGACCCAACTCCTTGGCTGCTCATGCCCACCGATGTCGCTGATCAGCATGACCTTGGTGTTGGCTGGGATATGCTGCTTGAAGACAGGACGCTGTTCCTCTCCAAGAGTCTCATGGTGCCCAGAAGCATCCAGAGCCTTGGTGGATGTCAGGTCAAATAAGTGAAGCCAGCCCTCTGCGCTGACGGCCACCACCAGGTTCTGGGAGAGAGAGAGGTACAGCAGAGGTGCACGAGGTGGGGGGGGGGCGATAAGCAGATCTCAAAGGCCAGGGCTGACCTTCCCAAGGAGTCGCACTGGAGGCAAGGACTTGGGCTTCTACCCTAGCCCGAGAAGCCCTGCATCCTTACCTTTCCTTTATTACACACGTCTCCGACCCCAACACAAGTCAACTGCAAGAGAGAAAAGGAGGCTGATGGTGGCAGGCCTTCCTAGTCTCCTAAAGCTTGTGTTGTGTGACCTTTATGAATAGTCTTTATTGATAGACACGTTGAACTATATAATTTGATCTATTTATACAGCAATACAAAGACCCAAGTAGATACAAACTCAGACTTAGGTAAAAATGAATAAAATCTAGCTGTGTGGTGCCCACTTGTACTCTTCGAGCACTCAGGAGGCTGAAGCAGAAGCACTGCCATGAATTCCAGGCTGGCCAGGGCTACACAGCAAGACAATAAGTCTCCCTCCCGCCCTCACCCAAAAAAAAACCCACCAAACAGGAAAATAGCCTGATTATTATATTTCTAGATTATTCCAATTATCATTCCCATTTTTTATTATACTGTCATGTATTGCATAAGGACATTTTAGTCGACAGCACATCACATGTCTTATGGTAGACCGATAAGATCCCAACGCATAGCTGGGTGTCAGTTAAGAGGCCGAGGCAGGAGGACGCCAGCCTGAGCTACAAAGCCAGACCCCACCTTATGAAACTAAGGAAACACAGTAGCTGTGTTAGCTTACATAAATGCTGCGGTGGACACCTGATGTTAAAAGAACCTAACACGACATTTCTCAGAATGCAGCCTTGTTGTTAGCTGTGTATGACTGCACTACACACTATCAGACAATCTTAGCCTCCATAAAGCAGCAAGTTCATTCTACAACATAAAGGACAATACAGTTGTCCCCCTGCCTGGTCCAAATGACACAAGCTAGAGTTATACGATAAGAGAAACCCCAATTGAGAACATGCCTCCATCAGATTGCTGGTAGGCAATTTCTTGATTAATGTCTGATGTGAGAGGGCCCAGCCCTGGCCAGGTGCTTCCAGGCTGTCTAAGAAAGCAGGCTAGCAAGCAGTTCCATACTCTCCTTGAGTTCATGCTTCCAGGTTCCTGCCTGGAGAGCCTGCCCCAACTTCTGACTTCACAATAGACTATAAACTGTAAGCTGAAATAAGCTCCTTCCTCCCCCAAGTTATTTTTGGCCATGACCTTTATTACAGCAACAGAAAGCAAAGTAAGATAATAGTCTTGTGAGAGAGTTGAAAAAGGGACAGATGAGAGCAATTCCTAGGGTTACCCGCCCACCGAAAACAAACTCTGAAGCAGTAACTCAGCTGAGTTGCTAGGGAATCCCCTGTGGGACTCCTTGGCAGACCAACACAAAGGTATCCTGGCTCCTCCCGAGCCCCACAGAGATAAAGACTGACCATTCCCTGGCAGGAGCAGGTGAGCCATGGTCGGCTGTCATCGTTCTTATACACAGACAGTTTTCCACTGGTGTCTCCCACCACTAGTTCATTTAACTGCAAATGGAGAGAGAGCAATGTTAGGAAGGAACCCCAGCAACCGCTTCTCAGCTTAGTTTGTCCTGGAAAAACCATAACATTGCTGGGTAGTGGTGGCGCATGCCTGTAATCCCAGCACTCTAGAGGCAGAAGCAGGTGGATCTCTGTGAGTTCGAGGCCAGCCTGGTCTACAGAGTGAGTTCTAGGAGAGCCAAAGCGACACAGAAAAACCCTGTCTTGGAAAACAAACAAACAAAAAACAAAACAACATAAAAGAAAGCCTTTGATGGGCTGCAGGTGTAGCTCGGTTGGTAATGTGCTTTGCCTAAAATGCCTGAGGCCCTGGTCCTATCCCTAGTACCACATAAAACTAGGCATGGTTGCTGGGTATGGTGGCATTGCTTTGGTCCCTGTACTCCTGAGGCAGAGGCACAGGATCTGGTCTACAGTCAGGGCCACATAGCGTCTCAAAAATCAGAAGAAAAACAACAACAACAAAAACAAGAGAAAACAGGCATCGTGGCACACACCATAAACTCAGCACTAGAGGTGAAGGCACAGTGTCAGAAGTTTGAGGCCATTCTCAAGTTACGTAGCAAATTTAAGGCCAGCCTGCAATACTGTCTTTTTTTTTTTTTTTTTTTTAAAAGAAGGCATTGAGAGGTATGGTAGATCTGCCTGTGATCCTAGCACTCAGGAGATGGAAGCCAGAGGGTAGCAAGTTCAAGGCTAGCTTGGGGTTACACAGTAAGAACATGTTTCAGGGGGAAAAAAAAAATCTTCTGAGACTGGTTGCCCAGGAGCTAGGGGTGTTTCAGAAGCAGAGCAGTTGTCTAGCACAGGTGAAGTAAAAGGAACTCAACAACAAACAAATATTTTGGAACCAACACAGTCAGTTTCCCAGACCTTACTTCCATGTGTGCACAAAGGAAAAGTTCTACACAAGAGCAGTGATCCAGGTAGGTCAGCTATTGGCACAGCTCTCTGCCCCAAAATGCCTGACCTTGTATACTCCCTTGGGATATGTTTTGAAAACAGTCCAATAGTGAACTTTGGAAAAATATTACTTCAGACTTCCTATTTTGTCAGAGGTCAAAAATACAAAGTCAGTTCCCAGGGTTCCATCTCTTCTTACAAGACCCCTGAGTTTTAATGATTTTCATTATGGAAACACAGAGGAAGGGACCTGTCTCAGGGACGGGGCCTGAAGGTGTTGCTGGTGTCAGTCTCTTGGCTCTGGGGGAGGGAGGGTCCCTTCACAGAGCCTTTCCCCGCCACGGCTAATCCACTTGGGGAGTCCTCATGATAACCGGGTGGCTCCAAGACCTGTTTCTACAGTTTCCTGATATTCTCTTGGGAAGAAGACAATGTCTCCTCCAAAGAGAGGAAGCTAAAGTTAAATTCTTAAGAGACCAACAGCACTAATGTGGTGAAGGACCTACAGTAGGGAGTCTCACGTGTGACACGAGTCTGTTAGAGCCAGCTATCTGAGAGCCCTCCCCCAAAACAGAAGAAATTTGAGACAAACTAGAATTGACATAATGATTTGACTTTTAAAAATGTATTTTTTAATAGTTATGGTTTTACCCCTTTCTCTGTCTCTCACTCTCTCTTTTTTAAATTTATTTATTTATTTTTTGACAAGATTTCTCTGTGTAACAGCACTGGCTGTTATGGCACTAACTCTGTAGACTAGGCTGGCCCTGAACTTACAGGGATGGGCCTGCCTCTGCCTCCTGAGTGTTGGGATTGAAGGTATACCACACCAAACCCGGCTCTCTCTCGCTCTAAAAGATTTATTTTTATTTTACGTATATGGGTGTTTTGGCTGCATGTATGTCTGTGCACCTTGTGCATGCCAGGTGTCCTCAGAGGTCAGAAGAGCATGTCAGAGCCCCTGGAACTGGAGTTACAGATAGTTGTGAGCCCGAGTGCTGGGGCTAAAACTGGGGTCCTCTGGAGGAACAGCCAGTACACTTAGCCACCAAGCCACCTCTCCAACGTGAATACACTTTTCTTAAAAATTTTAAAGCAGAAACTTATGAGTCGGGGCTGGAGAGATGGCTCAGTGGTTAAGAGCATTGCCTGCTCTTCCAGAGGTTCTGAGTTCAATTTCCAGCAACTACATGGTGGCTCAAAACCATCTGTAATGAGATCGGTGCCCTCTTCTGGCCTGCAGGCACACATGCAGGCATAACACTGTACATAATAAATAAATAAATCAAAAAAGAAAAAAAAGAAAAACAAAAAACCAAAAAAAAAAAACCAACAACTTATGGGTCATAGCCATGTAGGGTTGCATGCCTGCGTGCTTTTCTGCATTATCCAGAAAAGCGCACCTTCCCCTTGCCTCTGTCCTCTCTAAGCATGCTTTCGCTAACACTTGGAGCTTTTGGAAGGCATGTCAGGCTTCCCTCCCCACCATGCAGTTGCTGGTGTGTCATGTGTCTGACCTCGTTTCCAGCTAAAACGGCATGGCCTTTCCCTTCTTCACCTCAGGCAGCTGCTGTTTGACAGCTTGCCTGCCAGGTTTTTATTTTAAGTTTTAATAAAATCGTGCTTCCAAAACAAATATTTTTAAAATTACATATATTTATTTACTTGTGCGTGTGTGTCTATGCACACACATATATGTGCCACATGGTGTGTGTATGGGTCAACTTGTAAGAAACAGCTCTCTTCTTCTACCATGTGGATCCTAGAGCCCAAACTAAGATCACCGGTCTTGATGGTAAGCGCCTACATCTGCTGTCCCTGCTTACATTTTTTCACGTATGAAATCCTGAGAGGAGCCTATAGTGAACGGTGTGCATGCCTAAAATCCCAGCACCCAGAGGTTGAGAAAGGAGGGGAGGACTGTCGATCCCAGGCCAGCCTAGGGGAGGTACACTGTGGGACTTTATCCAAGAAAGAAAACGCTCAGCTGGCCCTCCTGTTTCTACAGTGCTCAGCCATCCTCCCTTCTTGGTGAGAAGGACCTCTCAGTTTTGCAGAGCCACAGAGACAGAAAAAGAACCATAAAACAGCACAGCAAGTACATTGAGCAAGCAGATACGACCCAGTCGGGCATGCGGGAGAGGCCATTTCCAGGGTGGCTCCTGGCTTTCTAAGCACTTGACAGCTTCCCATCAGATCTGTTGCTCTGACAGAGCTAAGCTCTGGCTTCACCAGGCCACACAGAACATTAAAGAACCCCTGAGGGAAAGTCCACCACGTTCAGAAGTGCTGAATGAGAAAGGATTAATCTTCCTGCGATCGGCTTCAGTCTCCCAAAGGCTTGCTGTGCCACATCCAGGCAGGCTTCTGTGGGTGGTCCAAAAGCATGTTTTATTCCTGGCTTCTGCCTCCATCTCAGCAGGAAATAAATAAGCTTCAAAGAACTTTAGGCTAAGGGTTTATCAGGTTTAAAACAGTCTTTGTCCTCACTCCCAAAACCCCAAATATCTGGGGACCAAACATGCCTGCCTCCCCCTCATCCCCTCGGGTTTCTCTGTGTAGCCCTGGCTGTCCTGGAACTCACTCTGTAAACCAAGCTGTCCTCAAAATGTTTTTTTTTTTTTAAATTTATTTATTATGTATACAATATTCTGTCTGCGTGTACGCCTGCAGGCCAGAAGAGGGCACCAGACCCCATTACAGATGGTTGTGAGCCACCATGTGGTTGCTGGGAATTGAACTCAGGACCTTTGGAAGAGCAGGCAATGCTCTTAACCTCTGAGCCCTCTCTCCAGCCCCCCCAAGCTGTCCTCAAACTCAGAGACCCTCCTGCCTCTGCCTCCTGAGTTGTGGGATTAAAGGCGTGCGCCACCACTGCCTGGCACACAGGCCATAGTGTTCCCCACCCCCCCCAGACAGGATTCTCTGTGTAACAGCCTTGGCTGTCCTGGAACTCACTCTGTAGACCAGGCTGGCCTAGAACCCACAGAGATCCTCCTGCCTCTGCCTCCTGAGTGCTGGGATTAAAGGTGTGTGCTACTATAACCTGGCCACAAACCATGTTTTATTGGTAATTCTTAGACAGCCTGGGTGGCCTGGAATCTGCTGTGCAGATCAAGGTGGCCACAGACTTGCAATGATCCTCCTGCCTCTCCCTCCTGAGTACTGAGATTACAGATGTACACCACCTCGCTTAGCAGCAAATTTTTCCCTTTCTTTTTTCTATGTTGGCATGGTGGTGGGGAAGGAAGGCAGGGTCTCACACGTTCTAGACACGTGCCCGGTCACTGGGCTACACCCTCATACAATAACAATGTTTATCTACAGTCATGTGCTGCAGCTGACCATTTGTTAACTCGTCAATTTTCCCAACTTCTTCCACCTTTCCCCCTAATTACACACATAGCTCTTCAGGTGGCTGTGCAACAATCACATTTGCTTTGTCTTTCTTTAAAAATAGCACGGGAACCAACATCTCCAACATACAATATTTTGTTTTTCACACTTGCCTTTAGTAACAATTTTATATTGAAAACCTGAGTTTGATCCTTAGGCAGCTCCACATGGTAGATGTGAGCACTGACTCCTACAAGTTGTTCTTAACCTCTATACTGCACTGTAGCACATGTGTGGTTCTTTGATCTCTATACTGCTCACCCTGTCACTCGCACATGCAAATGAACAAGTGTAATTTTATTACTGAGCGTGGGAGATGAAGAGATTGGCTTAGTGGTTTAGAGTACTTGTTGTTCTTGGAGAAAACCAGTTTTGCTTCCCAGGGTTCACACGTCAGCTCACAACCATTTGTAACTTCAGTTTCAGGTGCTCACACACACACAAATCCTATTCTTAGGGATGTTATAGCAATGGTGTTCACAATGTAGGCAAGAAAAATAAGAACAGCTGAAAGTACAGCTGACCCTCCGTATCTGTGGGGCATTGGTTACAGGAATTCTGTAACCACAGACTAGTGTTTGGACAATTTAATTTTTTTCTTTTCTTTTCTTTCTTTTTTTTTTTTAGAGACAGGGTTTCTCTGTGTAGTCCTGGCTGTCCTGGAACTGCTGTGACAAGCAGGCTGGCCTTGAACTCCGAGGTCTGCCTGCCTCTGCCTCCCCAATTCTGGGACTAAAGGTGTGCCACCATGCCCAACTCAATCCTTATTCTTTTATTTATTTCTGTGGTACCGAGAATTCAATCCAGGGCTTTGTTCATGGCTAGGCAAGTGTTTGGTAGCTACATCCTCAGCCTGCTACCATATCACTTTAAATCATCTCGAGGGCTATATGAATACAGACCCATGCAGCATAGAATTGGGTCAATGGTAGGCTCTATATATCAGGATAAATGCCATTCAGGTTTGTGTAAGCACACACTATGATGTTAGGACTACAAAGTAATCTAATAATGCATTCCTCAAAAGTATCTCCTTCATGAGTACTATGCTATAGTCGCTATTCCATACTGTTTATGTAATGGTGTCAATAAGTGAAACTTGAACATGTTCAGTACAGACCCATTCTTTTCCCTATGTGGGTCTGGTGAATCCTGGGCATGGAGCACTCGGATTGGAAGGGCTGCTAATGTTGATAATTCTAATATTCCAGAGCTTTAACTGCGCCCAGATGTGAAACCATGATGTCCACGTCTGTAATCTGTATTTATAAAAATGATGAGAAAAGGAACAATTGCCTAGGAAAGAAATGAGTTGAGGGGAATAGCTTTTGCAATTCAACAAACGGGTCGCACTACAAAGTTGCCAGACACTTGAGTCTATTCTGGGTAGGTACAGTAGTAGTCCGGCATGAGCAAGACTGTAGGCTATCTGCCACTGACTGTCGATTCCAGTGCGGAAGCCAAGGGCAATAAAAAGTGTGCAAGCACGGTGGCCTAGAGGACGGGAGGGCAGAGCCATATTATGAAATGAAATTTACTGGTGTAAAAAAAAAATTGGCCGGGTGGTGGTGGCTCATGCCTTTAATCCCAGCCCTTGGGAAGCGGAGACAGGTGGACCTCTCTGAGTTCGAGGACATCCTGGTCTACAAAGCAGTTCCAGTATAACCAGGGCTGTTTTAGAGAAACCCTGTCTCCAACCAGCCCCCCAAATAATAAATAAATAGAATTGGGGGCTTTGAAAGGTAGAGTTTTGAAAGGGTATTTCGACTAGGGGAAGCAATAATGCAGGGAACTTGATCGCTGCTTTACAAGGCGCCTACTCTGTCAAATCATTGAACTGGGCAAAAGGACCAACTATCTATTCTTTAAAATTATTAATAACAAACATAACATATGGCTGAAGAGATGACTCAGCGGTTAAGACACTAGCTGCTCTTCCAGAGGAATAGGGTTCGATTCTCAGCACCCACGTGGCAGCTCACAGCTGTCTGTTACGCCACTTCTAGGGGATCCAATGGTCCAATGGTCCTCTTCTGGTCTCCATGGACACTGCACACATGTGCTACATAGATGTACATGCAGCAAAACATTCTACACGTAAAATTTAAAACTTAAAAAAACCAAAAGAAACTGTTCCAGACGTTCCTGTCCAATTAAGCCGCCGGCTGTGTTGCTCAAGGACTGAAACTGTCAATCAAGTTTGTCTTGCGTACGCCATGATGGCTCCAGTGCGCACGCGCACCACAAGCTACCTCCCACCTCTCGCCCCGCCCAAGTGCTGTCATTTGCAGTACGCACGTACTCACCGCGTCGTTATCGACGTCTCCGAGGCAGATGGCGTGCGGGAAAAGGCTCCCGCTGAAGTCCAGCGCCACGCGCTGCACGTAGCTAACCGACCTCATGGCACTCTGGAGGCCTGAGGTGGCGGGCCACCGCGCCAAACGACCCCGAGTCCTCACGACAGTCGCGGGCAGTCGCGCGTTAAGGTCATCAAACCGGAAATGTACGTCACCGCCTGAGCCTCCAGTTCCGGCTTTCTTCGCCTAACCTTAGGGAAGGAGGCAGGCCTTCCGGGCCACGAGCCGACCTGAGGCCGCGGGCTGCATTGTCTCCTCTTAGGGAGTCAAAGCATCAACGGTTGGTCTTAGTAGCTGTTCTAATTAACTGTTTTGTTTCCCAACAGTTCTTTTATGAAATTACCCAAAAGGAGTTATCAACACAATTTAGTGGATTGCAACCCACATTAAAAAAAAATAAGAGACCAGGAAAATAGCTCAGCAATTAAGAGTACTTGCTGCTTTTGCGGAGGACCCAGGATCGATTCACAGCCCTGATATGGCATTCGCACCCATCATTAATTCCAGTTCCAAGAGATCCGAAGCCAGACGCCCTCTTCTGGCGTCTCAGACACCCACGTGATGCACAGATCCCACGCAGCAAGACAACCATCACAAAGCGTTTAAAAATGGGAATAGGAAAAGACTCCAGTTGTAAATAGTATTACTTTGTGACAGCTTTGTTTCAGTTGTTTCTACTTACATATGTAACATTCTGGATTATAATGAAACAGCAATTTACATGCTGCGTACTCTGTAAGCAGCACCTACTGCAAAGCACACCTCTAAAATCAACACAGCTGTGCAAGCTTCAATGTTTCTTCACATGATTGAGTAACCTGGCTGAAAGTGGTAGACGTGGGACTCAGAACAAGATGTTTGATCCAAAATGCTAGGGGCTTTCCGGTCACTGTTGGGGGTGCCTAGGAGAGTGCAAGCCGCCGGGATTCTTTGGCTTGTGTGGTGTAGCCCCAGGACCAGCAGAGCCTCCTCTTTCAAGTCGTCTTACTCTAGGTGGGATCCTTATTCTCAAGACTGGCTGCTTTGGGATACTTACCCTGTTGAGTCAGGTCCTGCCATTCTTTTGAGGTGTCTTAGTAAGAGAACAGGAGTGAGTGCTAAGCCAGATGTGGTCAGGCTTGTCTGTAACCCCAGCACGTGGGAGGAGTACGCAGGAGCAAGATTTCAAAGTCAGCCCTAAACTAGTTCTACGCCAACTTTGGTTACATGAGACCCTGTCTCAAAAAACCAAACAAAAACAATAAAAGCAAACAAAACACCTTCCTGGCACTTGGGAGGTAGGGGCAGGAGTTCAGAAGTTTGGGGTTACCCTCAATCACATGCAGTCTAGGGATAGCCTGAAACACGAGGCTCTTTTTTTTTTCCTTTTTTCTTTTTTTTTTTTTTATGTGCAAGCTCAGGCTGATTTACACATGGTTTCTCAACCAAAACAAACATTCGCTTTGAGTATGTTGGACCAGAGATGGTCTTTCTATGTTCAAAGTAGTGAGAGATGGCTGAAAGTGAGACCTTTCTACCCTAGGAGAGGAAAAATGATGGATTTGGTCTCAGTAGATCTGACAGCTGAAAATCCAAAGGAAAAACTTAAATAGGAGGCAGTCTGAATCAGTCCTGGGGACTGCAAATCCATTCCTGGATAAATGGTTACCAACCTCTATTGTCAGGGGTGAGTTGCAGGGCGGCTAGATCCATTGGAAGGTCCAGGTCACACAGGTGTGCCTGGTGCTACAAACTCATTGTTATTCATGGAGGGGTTTTATGCTCTATTTGACATTCTTGTTCAACCCCTTAACTTCCTACTAGGTAAGGAAAAAACAAAACCAACTTTGTAGTGTTTGTATTTGTATATAATACGTAACTTATTTTATGTTGCACTTTACTGTTTTTTTCTTAATAAAATTGTAAGATTCAACACTAATATTCTTAGGACGGAAGAGAAGAGCAGCAGCTTACTTCTCACTGTATGTGCTGGTCTGACCCAATTCCCCGAAATCACCTCCTGACCCAGTACTCCACAATAATCTCCCTTCATTTGGAGTTCTTGTTCTGGAATTTCAGTCGCAGTGTCTGGTTGTTTGTGCAATTGTTTATCATCATGAAGGTCATGTCATTCATAACTTTGGATGCCAGGCCTTTTGTCAATCAAGAGAGCCAAATAAAGTTAGAAAGGAAAGAATGTCCCTAAAAAAAAGTATAAACCAAGTATTGTGTTAAGTCTGTGCACTTGTATGTGTGAGTGTGCCTGACCATGTGGACATACGTAAAGGTTGATTTTGAAATGTCTTCCCCAATTGCTTCTCCATCTTATTGAGACATAGTTTCTCACTTAACCCAGAGCTTACTTCTTCATGTAGTGTGTGTGGCCAGTGAACTGTGCACCACCTCATTTCACAGTTACAGGCATACCTTAAGATGTCAAGTTTTCACATGGGTGCTAGGGATCTGGAAGCAGGCCTTCATGTTTGTGCAAGCATTTACACATTGAACCACCCCTAGCCCAATTCTTTGTACACCCACATCCTTTGAGTGCATCACAGTGGAACACATGACTGGGCCTTGCATAGCTAAAGGGCTGGATTGCTTTTCCCAGCAATGATTTTCTTCCAAGTATTTCTTTCTCTAATTCTTAGTGTTGTTACATTTTTTTCCTTCAGTTGAAATGGGACACACGATTTACTTGAGGTGCTCTCAGGGGGATGCCACAGGTGAGCCAAGCAGAAGGCATTAGGCCCTGTAGGTTTTGTAGGCACCATGGCAGGGACTCTCCTCTCCAGTCTGATGGGAATGGGAAGACTCTCACAGTGGAGGGACAACACAGTATTTAGTGCAGGTGGTGAGAAAGTGTCTTTTTAAAGAGCAGGTAAGCGGTGAACAATGATGTAGGGGGCAGAAGGAGAAGAAAGATATGTAGGGAGAAGTGACACTTCATAGGCTAGAGACTGGAAATACTTAGGTAGCACAGTTTACAGAACTCCATTTTAGATTATTTCCGGAGAGGAATTACTTAGGAATGTATATTAAAAGCTCAGAGCAATTGCGGCTGGACTTTCTGAGCACATTCCCTGCAGAAATGCTGAAGTGTGGGTGAACAAGGTCCAAGTGTCTAGAAGGCATGAGTAGTGTCTTCTAGACAAAGTTCAATAGGTAGCAGGATTATTTTTGGCTGTAAAGAATTAACCACTTTATCAAATCATCTTCACTAGACAGTTTTCATGTTATAATAAACAGGACTTTTCCATCTCTACTGTTCTATAAAAGTACAGTAAACCTTAAGTTCTTGGATTCTCAAACAGCTTTCCAGATGAACAGGATTTGGGATGCTTTTTACCCATGCACTGTAGATGAAGTGAGGCTCAAGACTTGCCCTGAATCACATGACCTCAAAGTAATTTAGGCTAGTTCAGAGAACTCATCTTCAAGGAGATGTTTCTGTTTGACTTTTGCAAACTTTTTTTTAAAGACAGGGTCTCATCTCAGGCTGGTCTTGAACTTAAGTAGCTGAAGATAACCTTGAACTTCTGATCCCTCTGCCTATACCTCCCAAGTGTACCATTATGCAAGGTTCATGTGCTGGGGATCTAACTCAGTGCTTCATGCCTGGTTTTACTTATGTGCATTGCATATGTGAACAGATGACAGTGTACGTCAGAGGACACTGGATCCCCTGGAGTTGGAGGTTGGGAGGACTTGCTGCTCTTGGAGAGGACCTGTGTTCAGTTCCCAGCACCCACTTGGTGGGTGGCTCACAACTACTGCTAACTCTAGTTCCAGAGAATTTAACAGCCTCTTCTGCAATCCATGGGTACTGTAAACATAGATACATGAAATTCACACATACACACTGCTTTTAAGGACTATCACTATTTGCCCCTGGATTCATTATGTAGACCAGGCTGCTTGAACTCAGGGATTACCCTTGCCTTTGTCTCCTGAGTGCTGAAATTAAGGTGTGTGTCACCATGCCAAAAATAAAAACAAGACTTTAAAATATAAAAAGTTTATGTGTGAGTGCCTCAATTTTCATATATGCACCATGTGCAGTGCCTGTGGAGAGTACAAGAGGGTACTGCATCTCTTCTTAGGTTGGGAGCCAAACCTTGGGCCTCTGTAAGAGCAAGTGCTAACTACTAAGCTGTCTCTCTAGGTCCAGTACCTAGCTTGACATGGATACTGGGGATCTAAACCCAGGTACTCACTTTTGGAGTGATCTAAAAAATCTAGTAACTGAGCTGTTCTCCAAGCTTTGGTTGAGTTTTCTCATCTATAAAATAGGCCAAGCTTCTTTCTTAGGACAGTTGGATCAAAGATTGTATCACAGGGAGTCCTTGGTACAGGTCAAAGATTATACTGTTAAGTACTTAGCAATTTAGAAGGGCTTGCTTGGTATCATCATTAAAGCAAAGTCAAGAGTCAAAGTTAGAAATACCCAAAGGATCCAGGCTTAAAACAACAACAACAAAAAAATCAAGCCAAACCTGGACTTACACCCACTAAGGGAACTAGTAGACATGGTGCCAGACACAAAGAACTGAGACCTTTCCCATTGAATACATCTTCTACAATGTCAAGAGCTACACAGGTATATGGGCAGGCAGACTGTCAGAGCCCACACAGAAAGGCATGGGGGGAATGAGTTGACCTGTAGGTGAACAACAGGAAGTTCAATGTGGCTGACATTGAAGCCAGGGCTACCTGGCTTCTTGCAAAGGTCAAAACTTAAGTTAGGTAAGAGATATGAAGGAGGTACAGTGTGTGCCTGATAAGACAGAGGAGGTGGATTTAAGGAGTACTTCATCAGTACTTGAATTCACGTAACAAGCTATCTGACCTTAGCCAACCAGCAACACTGGAGTTTTTATACCTTAAGAAGCTAAGGGCTGAGCCTACAAAGATGGCTCAAGTAGTTAAGTGCACTTGCAGAGGAGCCAGGTTTGATGTGTAGCACCCAATGCCCAAGGCCTCCACAGACACCAAGTATGCACATGGTGCACAGGCAAAACACCCAAGATGACTGCCACAACAGGGGCAGCAGTACAAACCCAGCTTTTTTGTTTCCCCGATGTTTGTATTTCCTCTTCCTCTTATGGGGGGGAGGGGTAATACCAGTATTCTAATGCTGGGCTGCTGAAGGGTGTAGTGGGGATTCATGATGAGGTGTTGTCCAGTTGGGAGGTGTAATGTGCACTGCAGCTCAGAGTGTGTGCACAGAGGGTCTGTAGCACACGCTGCACCTAAGTTGGACTGCAGTGTGCCCCTCTTCATTCAGCCCCTGCCCATATGTACCCACCACACCCTACCCCAGAGCTCAACATAAAGGGCTGCCTGACACCCACATTTCGTTGTTTCCACTTTATTGCTCAAGCACAGGACTTGAGGTGTGCCTGGACCTTCAGCGTGCATTAAAGAGGCTGAGGGGATGGGGACAGGGACAACCTGGATGAGGGAAACTGATAGGAGCGGAGATACTGGAAGGTGCTGTCTTAGCGGTGATCACTGTGATACCAGAGGATTTTATCAGGGATACCATCTCAGGAGAGCAAGGCGAGAGAGCTAATGGACACAGTGGTTTTCCCATGCCCCTAGCACCTGCAGGGAGATTGCAGGCTTGGAAAACAACCAGAGAGGGAAGGGATGAGGAAAATGGCTGCCCAGGAGTCATCTTCTCCACCCTGGCTTCATATCAGACCCCATCCCTATCACATACCCCCTTCTACCACTTGAAAAATGGAGCTAACAGAGGGAGAAATAAATTAACATTCTGATGTGTACGTGTGGAAGGATAAACACTCATGTGTAATGGGGGAAGGAGAGAGGGTTGACACCATCTAAAACTACCCCCCATTTCACCCCCAGCCTGCTCTTCTCCCCTTCCCTCCAAAGTCAACATCCAAACAGATAGAAAAATAAAGGTCTAATTCACTCAAAATCTTCAGTTTTTACAAAACTAACAGGGTGGAGTAGAGAAGGGAGCAGGGAGACAGGCAGCCGCAGGGGTGGGCAGGCGGTGAGGCAGGCTATGCTTCTGCTTCCACTTGGGACTGGTTCCCTGCCACATTGTTGGGCTCACCCTTCATCTCAGTGACAGTGGGATGGTCTCCAGCCACCTCTGCCTTGGCCTGTAAATGAGGAAGTGGAAGAGACTGAACTCCTGAGTCAAAGACAGACAATCCTAACAGAAAGGCACAGCAATCCGGGAACGGTCCTCAAAGCACACATGTGCACATGCACATGCTGAACTGACAACGCCACTCAACACACCACTGTTGAATGTCACAGATTTCGGATGTTTAAAACTATTTTTTTTTTGTGGTGTTGGGATTAAACTCGAGGCCTTAAGCATGCTGGGTAAGTACTCTACCACTGTGCTATATCCCAGACCTGCTAAACAAAAATATTTTAAAATGTTTTAACCTCATGTTTGCATCAGTGGGATGTCTGCTAAAACTGCAAAGACAGAGATTAGCACAGTCACTGAGCAAGGATATCACACAATTTTTTTAAAAGTTTTCCATACTTTTAAACCCATTAGAAAATATATAGAGCAACATATCAAATTCACCATTTAGTTTCACCTTTTAAATGTGTTACTAGAAAGGCAGTATATTTCATAACCTGTTTCTTTTGCAGAATGTTAGGGACATTAAAGCAACTAACAGGTTAAGTAAGATGGGCCATGTACACAGCGGAATACCACACAGCAGGAAGAGAAAATGGGAAGCATGCCTTTAATCCCAGCACTTGGGAAGCAGAGGCAGGCGGATATTTATGAGTTTGAGACCAGCCTGGTCTACAAGAG